CGCTTCAACGGAGGAAATTCAAAATCAATTTATAATATTGTCTCGGGTGATGAATCATGCTTTTGTTTATTTGAATCATGAATATTTTCATATGAGCCGGAACGAAAACATCAGTCGGCTGTTTTGATCTTCGCAGGTGAGATCAAGCCAACAAAAGTTGTCCGCTCTCGCAGTGTATCGAAGAGAAGGGTCACCTCGTTTGTCTCAAAAATAGGACATGTAGTCACAGGTCCCCTCGAGGAACGGAGAACGATTACCGCTGATTAGTATACAACGGTTTGTTTGCCACAGATGATATCCAAACTCCTTAGAGGTAACCCGAAACGACGACGCTGGGTTACTGTGGGATTCTCTAAAAGACCAATGCTGGGGGAACCAGTATTAAATATTTTTATAGATTTTTATTTCAGTCTATAAAAATTTTACTTATAGCTTACAGTTTTGCATACCATTTTAGTTGATAAGCTTGGCTTTAAAAACCACGATTGGAAACCTTGTACTGAGAAGAACCAGCAAGAAACTCAGCACCGGCTGGTTTTTCTTCCTATTTCAATACAGTATTGTGAGGTTTCAGCTTTCTTTTTGAAGCAATACAGATTTTTTACAAGGTCCTTTACGACTACGTTTGGATTATTTATTAATTGTCGGAACTGAACAATGGTTATTTAGTCACTGCATCATGATAATGCTCTTCTCATTGTCAGGTACGTACCTACGTACCACATCTATACTACACCGTTGTGACAAAAGGTGGTGAAGCTGTGGTGTCGTTTCGGCTTCTTGCGTGCGGTTACATTATGGTACCTACAAAATGTGTATTATCGCTAGTGTTTGCGATGTGGTTGCGTAAGGTACATATAGACAGTTCGATTTAAGGTTTTTTGCGATGTGACCGGTCGCTAGTTCATAGCGTCGCTGGTGGTTGCGACGTAGCTGCGGTGTGGTCGATATCACACACTCGGTTGATAGTGACGGCAAAAATGTGGTCTGTCTATGGATCTCCGTGGCCGAGTGGTATGTACGCTGGGTTTCGAGGGGTCGCCTACTCCCGGGTTTGAATCCCGGTGGGGGTAGACGTTTGTGTGATGAATATGAGCCTTTGTACTCCAGTCATCAATTATACTACATAGTTATAAGCTCTATCCGTTACCCTAGTATCCCATAACACAAGCCTTTACACACACATAAACACACGTACAGTGCTAACTTTGGGGCTAGGCTAATTGGTGTGTGCGTTGGAAATATTTATTTATTAATTTTAATATATATTACCTCCGGCCCACGTGTTTTGGTTGTAGAACGTGTGATTCTTTCACACGTATTAGAACACTGACTGCTTCCGTAATTTTCAATATTATCTTTTAATTCCAAAACCAAGCAATACTTGTCAAATAAAGTAATGGAGGTAGGTATAACTCATTACTTTAAATTTTCCCTGTACCTTTTTAATTCAAAAACATAGTAAATACAAACTTAGTAAGATCGTGATCGTGACCTTAGATCGTGACACGTGAATAATGGCCGTCAACAATGAAAGCTCAGTTATGTAAAGCAAACACTCAAATTACATTTTTGAGTACCTAACAAAAAAATAAGCATCAAATAAAGGACGCGAGCACTTCATCCCTGTCAGTCCCTCAAGGAAGGAGCCGTGACGTTGTAGGCTCGGAGACTCGTTGAATTTCAAAAGGTAAGGTTCGTAGGACCACTAGAGGTTAAACCAGGGCATAGTCGGCGACTAGGGCTGTAACCGAAAAAGTTTTACGCTATAAAAATTTACACTAAACGTGAGTGGACGTTATTATTTATTTTATTTATTCGGAAAATTTACAGCTATTATTTATATAAGATATTTATTTTGGTTAACTACAAGTCATAACAAGTTTTTACATGTTAAAAAGAGATGGCTAAGCAATTTCTGAAAGTAATACAAAGTAATGGTAAACATTAATACAGACACAAACGGAACTTACAAAAACTTATAAAGTGCCGCTCGTGGGAATCCACACTGTTGTCCAAGTGCAAAATTCTTGGGTTAGTAATTTGTAAATTTTTATTATTGATAAAAACGTTTCCTTCGGCTTGATGTGGAAGCGTATTTTGTCTAGCGCTGACTATAATAGTTAGTTATGATATCAGTGCGGTAAGTTGGTTATAACAAACGAGTAGACGAATGTAAACGTGAGATTAAGGCCCGTATTACAGAATGACCACTAAGTGTTGATCTTTACTTGAGTACAGTTAGAAAGGGATGTCGCTATGTGCTGTATATAGCATTATCCCTTTCTGACTATGCTCAAGACTAGATTTATTACCGAGAATCTTTCTCTTTCTTGAGAGAATAGTCACGAGTTTGTAAATACCAATTCCACACAAATGTCATACAATGATTTTCAACATGTTTGCGAGAAAAAAGTACATATACCATATTTGAGTAATGAAGCAAACTTTTTCTAATAAGAAAATGGTACGCATTTCCAAATGGCGCCACGTGCGGATGGTGAAAATTAGAACTACATCTTTTGTCTCTTTTTCTTTTAGTATTAAAGTGCGCTTCGAACGAAGTTTGTCCGAAATTAAAATAAAACCGTAAAGGATACGCAAGGCACCATGTATGGGAGCGTGCGGTAAAACTTTTTAGCGCACGCTCCGTTGTATAGCCCTTAATTTTGAACTTTCGAACAATGTAAACAACCTCCGTCATAAATACAAGTGCGGTAAGTTGGTTATTATTTCGAGCGAAATAAAAAAATCGTAAAGAATACGCACGGCGCCATGGGAACGTGCGTAATGAATTTTTCCGGACGCTCCGCTGTACAGCCCGACATTTTAAATTTTCAAACAATGAATGTAACCTTTGTAAATGCATTATTTGAGCAAATGTATTGAAAGTTGTAAATGCCTATTTATAGCTGTTTTGCACTGGCTCGGACTGGCGAGTTCAGTGCCCAAATCGCAGGTATGCATATGGCACTATTTTTTCAGCTGCCTGCTCGCACCGCCGCACTAGAAGAACCGTAAGCTTTGACGGTGACTATGTTTCGTAGAATTTTATTTTTTAAAGATTCTTTAGTTATAGGTTTACTTTGACGTAAATTAATTAAAGCGCTTTTTAATGCTATTTTAATAATATCTCCGCCCAGCGGCCCATCATTTGAAATAAATCTTGAAGTTCATCTGTCAATTAAGGCACATGGTACTCAACCAACACTGCCTAGTGCTTCTGCGGTTTTTATTTTTACATGGACTTCTATGAACATACGCTCACCATATATCAACTCTCAATCGCTTTGCTAGCAAGCTACTCAAGCATTCTATTACTTAGAACCCATACAACCTGCAGCTCACATGCTTATCTTATAGTGAACATGAGACGTCTACTTAATAGCTACTTTTCGGTGCTTGTAGTGCGCCTGATAGCTCTGATAAGGGATGAACCTAAAGCTCCAAAAGCGCGAACTATTTGCGAACGCTTGCGATACAAAAATAAATACTTGCGCTGTTTCCTACCCTGAGTACATCTGCTACCCCGTGGAGCTCTGGAAACTTACCCACCGACAGAACACAACACCACCAAAAGGTAGTGTTATTTTACAGTGTTCTTCTGTAAGGTGGAGGGTTATTGTGTTATTATTAGTGTTATTCTTACTTCCCCAGACGGGCTCAAGTGGAAAATCCGCTAAGCCTTACGAATTTACTACATAAGGGAGGACTGTTCTCATCATCATCAACAGCCCATCTTAGTCCACTGCTGGACATAGGCCTCTCCAAATGCACGCCACTCAGATCGATCTTGGGCTACTGTTCTCAGAAATCACATTTTTGGGAAATATCTCGTGTTTCATTAATCGAGTTCCATTTCGACTTTTATTTCAAGCCTACTCGAGTTTTTGGAATTTGTATTACACTATTCTAACGAAACGTTCTTTATTGAACCATGGAATTTCATTCGACATCCTTAAAAAATACGTTTTAACGACGAAAACTCCGTATTAAGTATCGTTCTGATTGATTCTCCAGAAGCAATATACAATACAGTCGATGGCAAAATACTTAGTCTATTTTCAAACTTTACGTTATTGCTGATGGAAAAACAAAAAGCAGCTAGTGCATGTGCACGACATCAAAATAAATGATTTTGGTATTCGTCTAATCGCTAATACATAGTTGTTTGAACCTATCTTTTGTATTTTCTAGATGACAGCTAGGTTATATATAAAGTAAAATATATTAATGATGATTTCTAAGAAAACTGAACAAAACCACTTTAAATCAACACGACTCTTTAAGTTCAATTTGCAAGTGATCTTGGTCGGGTTGAGCTTATCGTCTTCGAGGCGTGCTGTTATCTCGGCGAATCGACTAATTTACAATCCACGAATGAATATTTAATGGGAGTGTGTCACCCCTGAAAATTCGGTTCTCGGTACGCGTCAAAGATTACGCGAGCGATAATGGCAGATGCGAATGAGCTGGTAGGTACAGGTGGGTAACACGGGTAAGCAATAAATTCTCTACTGTTGATAGAAGTAGGTTGAAGGTCAGTCGAGACTGGAATGCTGAAGCAGGCAGTCAATTTAGGTAATGCTGTATAAGTGGAAAAATGTGCTTGAAACATGATATGATTTAAACAAAGGCTTCAATTTTATCGTCCATAATTTGATATTACTAATGAATGAACTCTCCTTACAAACATAATGCTACGAGAAATATACTTCAATTGAAGTACGCAAACACTACTTAAAAATAATCTAATGGAAACAAAAAAATATTATATGTATTAAAGTTTTCACAACGGAATCTCGAAAATTATCCGCCCATCCCATAGTATCCACGGTCCGTGCACTTTTCAACCATAGTCGCCGTCTACGGTTTTCACGTAGGCTACGCGCGGGGTAAAGGGGCGGGCAGCGGGTGAGAGAGACAGGGGAGGGGTGTGAGATGGGGGGGGGGGGTAAGCACGAGGGCGACGAGAGAGCGACGCAGCCTCCCTACCCGGCAACGATTACTGATTAGTATGGCGGCGTGTGCGGCGGGGCCGCCCGCATCGTGCTCGCGAAAGCTTTGGCAACTCGTGTTTCCTTACCTTACTTAATCTCAATGGAGACTCGATCACACCAAGGAGGAACCTACCTCCTTCTATCGTGGACTAAATCCTCTACCAGTGTGTAATCACAACGTCAACAGCTGATCACAGCGTACCGGCATGCGACTACGAGTGCTACACACTTACTACGCTTGTGCGATGTGTATGAATGTATGTGACGTTTTCGGTTATTGTGACTGAGGGATTTTCTGTTTCGCGTGTGTCTGGCTGAGGTAAGAATATTTGTTTACCTTTTCCCCTTGATTACGCTTACAGTGTCTATGTAATTACAACAATAACGCAAACCTTGTTTACAGCATTTTAAAATCTAACTATTTGAAACATATTTATGATGAAACTACAATATTATAACGATTATGGAAACAACGTCAATTCTTTCACGCCGTTTAATGATTATATTATATGGAATGTAGACTTGCTGCGAGGGAATGAATTAAATTTGTGAATTTAACAAAAACATTACGAACCTCGTGACGAACAGTTACATTTTCTTATTAAATATGTAATCTACCTGTCTTCAAATTACTCTTTATTAATTAAAAGATGAACAAATCTAACAAACAACATGTTAAAAATTTGTTACTAAAATAAGCAGTTTAAAATTTATTATTTCTGTTAATTTAATGAAAACCCCATGAAATAATATGTAAAATGTAAAACTTCATTCGACTCCAATTTACACAACAGTTGACATTATAGAGCAAAGGCGTCATAACCTTTTCAGAATCCGTGTGACAAGCCTAAAATATTAATTATTACTATTCGCACTTTATAATCCGCGTTTTTATTACTTAAGTATTGCATTTTGTACAGGGAATAATATATTTAATTTGTAGTCCATTTCCTGCACCTACAATAAAAAAGTGCTATAAGTGATTAAATGTGTTATTGTTCTGCAAAAACTTTACATACATCCGGTCGTTTTAGTCTACACACGAGCTTTCAGGACAATAATAAGATAAATATTACGAAAGCCTCATGAACTTAGTTTAAGTTTTGGTAAAGACAATGGGGAAACTAACTTATCGAATTTTGGTGTTTGTGTTCTTAGACAAGTGGGATCCTTTCTATTCGTTTGAACAATACGCTAACTTTGAAGTTTAAAAAATAAGCAATAAATCATTTCATGAAATATCATTTTAATTTATTTTTATGTTAAAAAGGGGGAAAAAGCATATGACCCACCTGATGACAATACCCTATAGACGCTTGTGATATCAAACATACATATCTCTCGCGTCGTTGCCTACCCTGACTGAATCCCCTACCCTGTAGAGCCCTGGAACTTTACTCAGCGACAGAAACACAACACCACCACCAAATGTAGTGTTATTTTACTGTGTCTTCTGTAAGGTGAAGGTTACTTCCCCAGGTGGGCGCTACAATTCGAGCGGAAAATCCGCTATGCCCTACCTCTCTTTGTATTTTCAAACTTTAATGTAAATGTTACAGTCCACTTACTTGTTTAAAGCGCACTGGCGTCTGATTTCATTGCTTCCGTTTGTCTTCTGAAATAAAAAGTGAAATGAACTTTTCTACCCATTGTACGGTCTTTAACATTATAACTACCTTATGTCCGCGGCTTCGCTCGCGTTGGATCGGTTTTGATCGAATACCTAAATGAACATTAAACTCAGTAAATAAAATGAAAAATCCACAAATTTTTCTCATTTTATTAAAGAATTAAAGAATCTTGTTGCTTCATACAAACTTGGAACTCTTGTTTATACCCCTTTAGAGGGTGAGTTTTGGTAAACCCTTACTTAGCGCAAGCCCACATTCATAGTTTTATGTGGGCGTTTGTTACCTTTCATGTATACATATTATTAAGTTATTGCATAGCTTTTATCGCGGGCTTTGAGCGCGGCGACCGAATCAAGAAATAAATTTTTTTGGTATTTTTTTATTTGTATATAAAACCACGCAATTATAGGTTTCTTTCTAATAACGCACCGATTTATAGCTGCATTACATTGTCATTTTATCAATTATGGTTCGAGAGAAGCAAGATAATTTCCCGCTCGAATTGGAGCCCGTCTCAGGAAGTAACCTCCATCTTGCAGAAAACCACAGAGAAATTACACTACCTTTTGGCGGTGTTGTGTTTCTGTCGGTAAATAAGGTTTTCAGACATGACTCGACAAGATAGCAGTCGGGATTGGCAACACGCAAATTGGGATGATGACTAACTTTTTTTTCGTCTATCAGTTAGATTATCAATATATGTTCTTTGTAAAGTATTTTTTATTTATTCATATAACAAAGAGATAATTTTTATTTTTTAAGCATGTAACTGTTTATTGTTTAAATCTAAAGAAAATATTAGTAGAAAAAATCCATGTGGACCAGACAGCAGACGGGACTCGAACCAGCAACCTTCGCTATCCGGGCGAATACACCGACCATTATACTACCGCGGCCTTTATGGCCGTGTCGAATTCTTTCTAGCCTTTTTTAAGCTGCAAGGCATCTCTCTTCGCATTGCAGGTAATCCACAATGTCAAATGAATACCTTAACAAGTATTAAAAAAATTGTAAGAGGAAATAGCAATTATAGCTATAATTTTTATTTTTTAAGCATGTAAAAAAAATAAAAATTCGACACGGCCATAAGGCTCGCTTTTTAAATCCACGCGGATCAAGCAGCAGATTTTTTTCTAGTAATATTTTCTTTAGATTTAAACATAATAGAGATATTCATTTGAAATGTCGCATGGCGTCACGTCTTGGTACAATTTTCACTTATACGTGACGTTATAAGCCACTTCGTAAAGTTGAAGCGCGTATTCTTTGTAATTTATTGGTTGATTGACAAAAGAAAAAATATAATTGTGTCCATTATTTTTTGACAATCTTACTGACGGATTAAGTAGAATTTTGTTTACTTTGCTACGTCATCGCCTCTATTATATGTGCATACATCGAAACCGTGATCAAAACAGATTCACGCAAACTCGGAGTCCTGAACAAGGTGCGGTGTTTTTTCTCGCCTCATCAACTGTATTTGTTGTACAAAATGTAAGTGCGGTCCTGCGTGGAATATTGCTCGCACCGCTGGGATGGCTCCGCTAAGTACTTACTCGATGCCTTGAATAGGTCACAGCGGCGTGCTGTCCGCATCATTGGCGATGAAGAGGTAGCTAGGTAACTCGAGTCTCTACAATTACGCCGCGATGTGGCATCATTAAGCGCTTTCTACTGAATAGTTGGTACTCGTGTTCAGAGGAGTTATTCTTATCCCTTCATCACCTTTACCTCAGAGACGACTAGGCAGGCGGCCTACGTTGTCACTAATTTACTGTGGCCACTGTTCCTACACGAACAAAGAAGTTTGGTGTCTCATTTCTATGTCGTACTATCAGCAAGTGGAATTCTTTGCCCGCAATACGGGCGGAATTGGGCGGATTTTTTCCAGTAAAATTTTCTTTAGATTTATGACAAGTAAGGCTTATAAAAACTAACTCATATTTGCAATGCTGCAGTTAAATTATAAGTTTGATTGCTAAAATTGACAAAATTAATACGTAATTAGTACGATAAAGGTTAGTTCCTTAACAACATCGAATATAAAACCACAAACAAAGTTTTTTTTATAGAATCATATGAAAAGAAGTATTTACAGATGCGTGATAAGGTATTCAAATTGAGTGTATGTGTAGATAACTAGGAGCCTGTTGGTAAAGGAAATAAACTTGGAAGTTTACACAGGAAATTCTGCTGGCAAGAAAATCTTGACGGTCGTTGGGTGAATACAAAATAGGTTTTTTTCCACTAAGTTTCACGGTTTATCTTTCGAGTACGGTGTCGATGAGCTTCAGTCAGCTATTCCCTTGGGGAATATTAACATGCCTAAAAGAAAAAGCCACGAAGGTAGTATTGTATAACTATGGGAACCAAAAAAAGCTCTGGAACTTCAAGTAGAATAAAGTAATAAAAAAAGGTAAATTTAAAAAATCAATAAACCCGGCTGCTTAATTATACTTCAAATAAAAACTGAAAAGAAAAAAACAAGTCCAGTAGTCTATAATTCTGTTAATAAGGAACAAAGCTACTTTAACAGTCGGGACCCATTAGATATTCAAGAATACATAATATTTTTCAACAGTGGGTCCCGACTGTTAAAGTAGCTTTGTTCCTTATTAACAGAATTATAGACTACTGGACTTGTTTTTTTCTTTTCAGTTTTTATTTGAAGTATAATTAAGCAGCCGGGTTTTTTGATTTTTTAAATTTACCTTTTTTATTTCACACTTTTTAGTTAGTTAGTATTTTAAGACGGTATATACCGTAGTCTTGTTACTTCAGTAAGGGAATTAATATCGCGGGAATTATTAAGTACCTTGCGTCGGTCTTAAAGATTGATTTATTAAGACATATAAAGACTACCAGCGGGGTCAAGGCTACAGATGGGCCTCAATTTTCGCAATTTAAATTTTATAGTAAATTAGCACTTACTCAAAAAGTCATCTTTTGTTTATGTTTTTTTTAATAGTTTAGCAGTAAATGTAAAATTCATTTACTTTTATTCGTCGACTATTTAAAATTGGCAGTGGCTGCATTGTCATGTCAATGCCGGACGTCTAAGATTGTGATATACACAAATTCAGTGTCAGTCCCTAGTCTCATAATTTGATATACCTACATAATTCACAGAAACCTTATATGTAGATGCCAGAAGTTAACTTCAAATGTTTTTAATCACCCTATATACAATACCAATCAATGACGTTTATGTCGCAGGTTGAAGAAAGCAGTAATTCCCGTCTGTTGTTTTGGACAATGGTGGCAACTGCCTTAGATCACTAAATTAAATAATTATGCAATCACCAAAGCAAAGTTTATAATATTTGATTAAACTAAAAGCGCATAGTTAAATTTTCATAACGTTAGGTAGAGCACCATAGCATTCTCATTTATTATCAATTTATAGTTCTCTTTGTAGTTTTCTTTTAAAGCGTTCACATTTAACAGGTCAAAGACTGTGTTCGACCCTTTTTTATTGGTAGTGTAAAGCTCGAATGAAGAGTACTCCCAGTAGTGCATTCATGGCAATTATTTTCCAATTTTTTTTTGTTTAAAAAAATACCGAATAACGTATCACTGTTAAGCACAAATGCTAAGTAACTTTCACAAATATAATCAAATAAACCTATTACTTAGTTTATTTTTAAATCTTTTTCATCAATTAAATACTTATCTTATCCTAACTATC